ACTCTTTCTTTTCTGTTGATTTACTTTATTAATAAATGTTATTGTTGTAAATTGGTTTTTCCTCTTTTATTGTTGTTTAGTTTAATTATTATGCTTATTATTATTCGTGAATTGATATTTTTAATGAGTTGTTGAGTTTTCGGTGTCCAGTAAATTTGATATTATTCTAATCAATATTGATTTTATTGTTTTCATATTCTTCCCTACTATATATTACTTCCTGCTAGTATCACTACTGACACATTGTCACAGTGCATTTTTTTAAAAATTTAATTGAATCTATAGTTTGTTACTTTGCCTCATTAGACATTAATTGTCATGGTGTCATTTTGATTATTTTAACATGTTAGCCTTTACATTAATCATATATTAAAATTGGCCAATGAAAAAATCTCTCCGTCGGTTTTAGAGGTCTTTTCCATTTTATAAGACGGAATTTTAGTTTAAGTTTATATATTTTATTTGTTAAAAATGGCCAATGAAGAAATTACCGTCGATTTCTAAGGCCTCTCATGTTAATAAGACGGATGTTTATTTTTAAGTTATTGTTTAATTCATTTATTTTTAATCATATTTATTTAGTACTAACACTTTTACTAAGTGTCTTTACAGGTACCCCGAAGTCGCTTCTCATCGAAGCCATTCGAATAAAGTTCGAATTTTTTATTCATTATTATGTATATTGTTGACGACAGACAAATATTAGGTCGTTTCTCATATTACTTGTTTACTTTATTACTTGTGTATATTGCATGCTTGTTATATTTGTATAATATTTTTACATCCTCCTCAATTTGAAAAAATGAATTCAGTCGGGACCCACCGTTATGGATTTCGAAGGATGCCTAACACCTTTCCTTCGAAATAACTTGAACCCCTTACCTAGAATCTTATGGTTTCGTAGACATTTTTGATTGGTTTCCTAGTTTTTTCTAAAATTAGGTGGCGACTCCTTTAAAATTCATTTATTCTTAAAATTCTTTTAAAATTGATTCAATTGTTTATTTTTCGAGTCGCCGCGACGTTTCGCCCTATTTGAATAGAGTAGGGATGTAAACACAAGTGACATAAGAGGAGGCGAGCGAGATAGTCTATGTATCCCAGTGACATGTGAATCACACTAGATACGTGTATCTAGGTTACACGATACATTCCAAATATATTTTGAAAATACATATACATAGGGAGAGAGGAGAGATGCAAGCAAAGAGTCAGATACATGCTAATCAACTTGGACATAGTACATATAGAATAAATTACACCTAATTTTGACCTCATGTATCCGATACATGCAGTGGCTTAGCTAGGATTTTTAATTAGGAGGTTCAAAATCTGAAAAAGTAAACATATGAACTATTCAAAGGGGGTTCGACATCTACTGTATATACAAAAATAAAATAAATTAACCATGTATAAATAGTAGGATTTTCCGTCGAAGGGGGTTCGGGTGAACCCCCTGACATATTGTTGGCTCTGCCCCTGGATACATGTATCTGCACGCGCTAGATACATATATCCAAAGTTCAAATTCTAATAAGATTCGTAATATTAAGAATTTACGTAAAGAAAAGTAATATGCTCCTAAACTAATGAAATATGTGTTGTTTAATGACCTCAACTTAAAAAGATCCACCAGGTAAAACTTTTGGTTTTCATCAGGCATCAGTTTTGGTTGTAATATACATATAAATAAATTTTATGTATAAAATAGAAGTTCCAAACATTTCAATAAAAACAAAGATGATTTTTATTTTTGATAAATGTAAAAGAAAGTCATAAGATCAATCAAAATATGTTGTGAGTATGACAACATCGCATTTAATTGCGAAAATATGTCAGTTGAATCTTTGATCACCCATTTATTTAACTTGGCACACAATGTCACCTAACACATGATATGAAATTAAATATATCAATTTTGAATCCTACCAAACTTTGAATCTTTCCTTATCCAAACCTTTCTTATTAAAAAATAACAAAAATGTAACATATTCAGTATAATTTTATAAGTGAAATTGAAAAAGATAAAGTATATGCAAATCTTATCCTTTTTTTTTAAGCTAAAATGATTATTTTCGAAAGACCCTTCGTTCGAGTAACGAAAAAACCTTCCTTATAAGTAATCATTAAAGTTTTGAGAAAACTAGCCAAAATTAAACCAATATTCTAATGTGTGGCACATCCAAGATTACCTTTTATTGGAACTTTAATTAAAGCAGTATATCAGCCACAGCCCACAAGTATAGCAAAGTTTATGATTGTGGTACCACAACTCAAAGTCACATGTTCCCATTGACAATTCAAGTCTAAGTGAGATTTTACATTATTTATTGGCAAGAAAAGATGAATATATATATATATATATACTTAAAGGGTGTGGCTTAGTAATTAATTAAGTTGGTCGAGATGATTATGAGGTTTGCGTGCACTCCTTTAGTTTTAAAATAGTTGTCCTATTTGGCGTTTCGAGTAACTGTTTGATAATGTAACTAATCTTAAATGTTAAATTTGACTAAACTAATTTAATATTTTAAAATTAAAATATGGATATTCAAATCAAAACATGAAACCATACAGAAGCAATATTTGGTCAAAATTTATATCGTTTTACTTTCAAAAAGCAAAACCAAATAAAAGATATTTCATGAAATTGATCGAGTTGTATATAGATCAGCGCTTACTCCACAAACTATTAAAAAATTAATTTATCTCTAAGTTTGAGCTTGTCCAATCATCAAGCACTAAATAGAACAATCCCACCTCAAATAGATTGGGTCATCATAATCCCATATATACTTAGAAAAAGCTAACACTCGTAATTAATGCATTCATTTCATTGGTTCCCAAAGTGGATCATACAATTCATTTATTCCTTAGTTGTTTGTTGCACAACATGAGTTGAATTTGAACAAATTCCATATAATATACAACCAATGTGGGCATGACTTCTTCACTTAATTAATCATAAAAAACAACCAAAATGCCCCATGTATAGCTAGGAGTTGTTTGTTGGTTGTTGCACTCAAAATTTTCTCTTATTGTCATATGGTTAGTGGTTGCACTTTTTAGATCAACAAAATGCTTCTACTCTTATTAATTGAAAATTAAAAAAGATAGTGAAATCATTATCCTTTCCTTTTAATTTTTAATTTCTTACTCCTATTGGACCATTTCTAAAGTTGATTACAAGTTGGCCCCATTGCCTTGTTAAAAGAAAAGGTCAAATTCATCTAGCTGTTTAATTCTAGTGCTTGAAGTGATTGGGGAGTTAGAATAGTGAACCACTTTTTTTTTTCTTCCGAATTTCAATATTTATATTAGAATTCGTACTACATTGGTTGATCGAAACATTCAATTAAAGAGGGAGGGATCTCAATCATATCATCGTAACTAATGATGGTGAACTACTTGTACTCATTGATATCAACATAGAATTGGATCATTTATATCCAATTTATTAGTAATACTTTATTCAATGTCATCAAGAGAAATTAGCTAAGATGATTAATCTAATCTAAAATAAAATGAATTAAAAAGTAAATAATATATTGGGATGTGGAAAATTGAATGACCTAACTGTTAATGATGAAAGGATGTTGAACATAGGAAGAAATATTAACATCTTATGGGACACGTGTTGGAAATTGCGGTTTATCCATTCTATTTGTCTTTTTGCCAACCCCATTGTCAAATCTTAAATTATTAGTTTTATAATCATTTATTTTTAATTCACTAGAAGATTCATATTGTCACGCGGTTCACTTTTACTTGTACACCATGAACATTACAAATTTTATAAAATTTGGAAATGAATGATTAGTTTTGAAAGTAAAACAGGAAGAAATGCCGTTCATTTCGTAATATGCTAAAAAAAAATTATTATTACTATCTAGGAGTTTGAACAAAATAAAAGTGAACAGAAGGAATATATATTTGTCTTTGGTACTTTGTAATTTGTATGTTTGATTTGGTTGCAATTTTGTAATACTTTCAAAATGTTAAGTAGAAATAATTGTATCTTATAGTGGTTACTATATGTAAATTTTAGTTAAGTAAATTTAAATCTTATGAAAAAATTAATGTTTAAATCTCAAATTAATTGTCTTGGCACACACAATCATGAGATAAAGTCATCATCCTAATAGATAAGGCACATTATATTATGCATGAATACCTACCAAATATCATTTGACTTTTCATCTTTCAATTCTTTTCTTTTCATCTACTCTCTTGAGTCCATTTTTTAGTTAATATATTAACCAAAAGGATGATTTTGTTTAGGATACTTTTATTTAGTCTTTAATTTCAATTTAATAGTATTCTTCTTTTTAAACATTTTAATCTCTTTTCAAATATATTATCAGAGTAACAATAAAACTACGTTTATCTTGATTTTCTAAAATAACAAATATTTCAATTCCGATTTCAAGTTGGCCCAAACTATCTCCACCGTTAAATATAATGAAGGGAAGGAACCAAACAAAAAAGATGGGGAAAAACGAGAGTGTCAAACAAAAAGTCTATTAGACAGAGCCAACAGATTAATTGCTGGTTTCCCCATATTACTAAGCTTTCATTTAGAAAATGACACATTATTATGGCAATGTCATTATGGCAACACTACTATTGTGGCTTTTTCTGCAACAAAAAAGGTCCCACTTCTGTTCATGTTTTAGACTTTTTGAAAACCCCTTCATAAAAATCATAAACCAAACCTCATCCACTGCCAACAAACATAAATAATACACCTCATATCAATCAGGTTGCTATAGAACGGTAAGTATTCCTTCAATCTTAGTCAGAAGTCTCAAGTTAAAGTTATTTTTAGTCAGAAATCTTGAGTTTAAATCTCACCGGATACATACTCGTCTTTGTTAAGAAGTGTTTTATCCTCCATGTGAAACTTTCTAACACAGATTCAAATTCAGTCAGACTCCAATGTAGATAAAGAAAATCATGTGAGAAACTGAAAAGGAAAAAGTACCATACTTCATAAGAGATTCAATGTGAACACAACAACTCTATTTTTTGTACTTGTACAGGAAATTCTTTACTATTGAAAGATGAACTATTTACATGAACATATATATTATACAAGGAAAAAGCACAAATGCAACACCAAAAAAGGTACTTCAGAATTTATACAAAAGAAGGAGCAAAGTATTGCTCACAAAGTACTAGGGGGTCATGATAAGAGTCATGGAAAGATGGAAGTCCTACACAATTAGTCCTCTCCCTATACATACAAAAAAAAGCAAGTCACAGAAAGCTCAAGCTAAGGATTCGAAGAACAACGCGTAAAATACTAATGCCTTTATATAGGAGGGAGTTCTAAGGCTGTTCATGCTACCGAAAGCAACAAACCAGAAACACCTCAGAGAGCCTATGTTAATAAAAGGAACTCCAGTAGTACTCAGCCCCGTTGGTGGGGTTTTATAAAGCGCGAATTCATTCATTTGAGATGTGATCAGCCACGACGAACACCCATGAAATAGTTAAAGTCGTGGTGCTGGACACCCAACTGCTTTAGCCAAGAATCAGCCACACTAAAAAGTGTTGACAGCCTCTCTTGGTCCTTCCCACTCCTGTCTGAAAGCCACACATCTCCCTGCATTTTGTAAGTGCCCAAGCCGAAAGGCACAAGGGGGATACTTTCTCCTTCCTTTCGTTTTTGTTTACCATTCTCCATGTCATCATCAAGGTCCATATCTGCATCATTATACCAAAAAGTCGGTGTAAAGGGGAAAGAAACGGTATATTCAAAAGTTCAATGAATCAAAAGACAGATCGAATAATACCTTGAAAAGAAGAAGAAAGTGTATGGAATGTGAGAAAGCATGCTGACAAGTCTTTAATGGTTCTTCCCATAGGAATGTGATATATCGGATACCTGTAATTCCATTCGAAAAAGCTTAGTGAAAAAACTCCTTTTTGTTCCCCTTGCTAAACAAGCAAGTCAACAATACCAAAAGTATACACTACATGGAGCACACAAGATCCAATTGAACACTCATCAAGTAAACCTTTTTAACACATCCCAATATAACACAACAATTTTACGCGTACACGTTTCATTAACTTAACAAAATCTACTATCAACAAACCATCAGCTCCCATGATCATATGGATACAAGGAGAGAATTAGCATACCAAGCAACTGACATCCAACTAGCTGGTGAAAGGTCTACACTTTTCAATGACATTAATCCAGGGTATCTTTCAGCGAAACCACTGATCTGCAAGCAAAATGAATTCGATTTTTGAATCAAAGAACTCGAAAAACAAACCAATATATACTAAAAATTCAAGCCACATGCTTCACATGGAATCTTATATTAATAACTCCAATGCATAGAGAAAGAACAAAGGCTTGACATAACGACAGCTTACGCTACGCCTGAAAACAGAATAAAGAACAGTACTGTAATAAACATGTCACCATTGATTCCATAAGGGTAAAACCATAAATGATATGTTGTTAAATGTTCACAAAATCACAAGTAAAGATACATAACCAAACTTATATGATTCTACCACATACATTTCCTTAAAGCATCAGCTACCAGTGTGTCAAAAAGAAGACTTTCAACAAGGGAAATAGCAGCTAAAGAGGCAAAAAGGTAAAAAAAGGATACCTTGTCCATCAAAGGGACTCTTCCATAAGGAGTTGATCTCTCAAAGTACTGAAAATAGAGATAACCCCATCTATCATTCATATGCCAAAGACTATCACCTTCCTCAGACGAACATCCATCCCATCTTGACAACTTTTCGCTTTCACTCTCATCACTAAACGAATCACTGAACGATGAATCCCTCGATTCTGTCTCTTCCCTATTGAAAAATGCAACACAAACCTCATTTATCTTCATAATTAACAATTAAAATGATCATGTGTGAACGCGAGATGCTTAATGCACAAAAATTTGAGATACCCACAAAATTTATGATGAAATTGAGATACCCAGAAAGGAATTTTAATTTACCTGAGAAAATTAACAGATGATCTGCTGATAAAGATTTGAATAGCAGAAAGATAAGGGACATAATATTGTACTAATGTTTCTGCTGAATCTGTTTTAATAGGAACTCCAGCACCATAAGCACTCCATTCATCATAACAATTCCAAAGATCACCCAAAGTAAAGTATTCAACCTTTTCTCTTTCCCATGGATGCCATAGCATATTTAGATTTCTAATCTCACTCTGCACATACAACAAATCACATTCATCAAAATCAAATTGGGGGTAAAAAAAACCCCAAAAAAAAACAAAAACAAATAAACAAACCTGAGGCAAAAACTGTGAAGGGACTAATGGTGTTGTGCATTCCAAGAAACAATCAAGGTTTGATTGCAATGACCCCTTTTCCATTGATATGATTATTCAACAACCACAAACACACAGAGAGAAAGAGAGAGAAAGAGATTGAAGAAACTATTTCTCTCTCTAGACACCCAAAGAAACAGAGGAGAAGAGAAAGGAAAAAAAAAACACAGAGTAGAAATGGGGAAAAAAACAGAGAGAGGGAGAGAGAAAGAAAGAGAGAAAATGACGGGATTTGTGAATAAGAGGAGAATATTACTCGGTCTATATACAAGGTGAAAAAAAATATATTTTTTTGACGTTTGGACAACTATATTATATAAAAATACAGAAAAAGAAAACAAAAAGTCTATTTTTTCCTTCAATTTTCAATCTTTTTCCGGTCACCGCAAAACCCAATAATTCCGGCGTAATTTTCTCTTTTTACAGTCAAAACCCAGAAACAGTATAAACCCCTCAAAGAAAGAGTTAATTAAACTTAAAGAAAACACAAACCCATTAGAGAAAAAAGAGACTTGTCTTGAAAACCAAATGAAAATAAAACCGACCCAGAAAGCAAAAACAAACAAACAGAGTATACAAGAATTGGAAAACGACGTGCTCTGTAAAAAGCAAAACAGAATCACAGAAACAAAAGCAAGTTTAGCGTAATGTATGAGAGAGAAAAGATAGAAAATGAGGAGAAAAGTTATAGTGAAGACGTTTGCATCACGCGAAGAAAACAAACAAGCAAGCAAGCGTCTTTCTTTCAATTTTGGCTGTTACAAACATAGATAAGTGAAGAACAAGTGCAAGCTTTTTCTAAACCAGAGAAAATGATGGGGTCTAGTTCAGTGGCGGAGCCAGGATTTTTCATGAGGGGGTTCAAAATTTGTAGAAATAGACCCACAAAGTAGCCGAAGGGAGTTCGACATTTACTATATATACATAAAAAATTATTTTAATCATGTATAATTAATATAATTTTCCCCCGAATGGGGTTCGAATGAACCCCTTAGTACAAGGTGGCTCCGCCCCTGGTCTAGTTGATCTTGTTACCTTTTACTCGATTTGAATTATTAGTTTCATCTTTATATTATTAACCGTCTTTAAAATATTTTCAATTTGAGAAGGAATTTAAAATTACTTGTTATGTCATATGGCAGATTCAAGAGTATTTTTTTATGACCGACAATAGTTTTGAGACGAAACTAATAATAATTTGTGTTAAATTCAAAGATGTTTTCAATATTTCTCTCTAAAAATAAATATATTGTTTTCATCCCAATTTATGTAGTTCAAATTTTGAGAGTCAAACTATTTTAATTTGAACATGAAATTTATAAAAAAATTGAATCTCAAAATCGAAATAATGGATAAGTAAAAGTGAAAGGAGGAGAGAGTATGACCTTTTCTTAACGGAATTCCATGGTTTGGGATAAAAAAAGGAATCAACTTTCTTGATTAAAACCCAACACATGTGTGGAAATATAAAACGGAAAAATTTGGAAAATGGAAAAAAAATCAGTTTATTTTAAAATAAAAAGAATATTATAGACTTTTTAAATTTTTGGCTAATCTGATCAAATTTTTTGGTCATTTAGCATTACCCATATAAAACAATGTACTAGTCATAATTTTTAATGTTTTTTATTTATTATAATAATAATAATAATGATAAATTTGATCTGGAATTAAATTTTGTAAGCTTGCTCCTAGATATTTGGTGAACCTGTTGACTTGACTGGAAAATGAACAAGACTGTGTGTGTGAGGGAGAGATTATTGGGATATAATTTAAGGCCATGAGTGTGGAATTGTATAATTTAATTGAAAGAGAAGGCGTTTTTTATTAATAATACATTAATCGTAAGATCTCTGATTAATAATAGAAGAAAAGTCATATGGAAAGGATAGTGTATTATAGATGTGAACAATCTCGACTAGGTCAATATTTCTATCTTTATGTTTTTGCTTTGTTGGACAAGGTCTATCTATGGCTTCAAAAGAAATTAAAGTAGATTTACAACTAAAATTTCTTTCATTTCCCAAATTGTAATTTACTGGTTTTTGAATGAAATATTCATATTTCTAAGTCTCATTTATTTATGACATGATAGTAACAGACTACTAATAATTAGTTCAAACGTTAATTAAATTTTATTTTAGTGACAGTGGAAGAAAATCTTAAAATAAAAATTAAAAAGTCAGTTTAACTACAAAAATATCTGAAGATTTGAATAACTTAATTTAATTTAAATTTTCAGATAGTAAAATTAACTAAACGGAATACCATTAAATTAATGGTAAAGTTTGTTTGACCACTTCTTTTAAAACATAACATAAAATTTTGTAAAAAACTTTGTTCATTTCGAGGTCTTTGAAAATCTTTTGCAAATGAATTTTTCATTTTTTATTATTTTCTTGAAGGAAACTTTGGATTACAATTTATATAAACCTTTTTTTGTTATTAGGATCGGGTTAGTGTATGTTGGTAAAAATATAATAAATTACATAATAAATAAAAAGACGTGAATATTTTACTCTCTTTAAATGTTGGATTTTAAAGGTGTGAATAGGAATTGAATGGTTGTGACTCTCCTTTAAGGATTGCGACTTTTACGAAGGATTGTGACATTTACGAAAGGTTGTGTCGTTTCTAAAGGGTTGTGACATTTGAAAGATTGTGTCTTTTCTAAAGGATTGTGACCATTCGAAAGGTTGCGCCTTTTCCAAAGGGTTGTGGCCGTTCTGAAAGTTTGTCTATTTTTCAAGGAGTTGTGACCTTTTCGATAAGGCAAAATTAACACATTTTCATACTACTATTTGTTGGTTATAAATAGAGAGATTTTCTCTCATTTTTCTGCATTGAATTATTTCCTTCTTCTGCATACTTTTCTTACAAAACAAAATTGATCGTATTTGTGAGTGTGATCTTGTTGCGGTCTTATTGAGTTCGTCGAAATTATTGAAGTTTGAGGTACCACTACTTATTTAATTAATGGTTAATCTATTTTATCTTGGGAGAAATTAATCTACAACATCGAATACTTGAGGGGATTACATTTCTTAAGGACACGGTGGGTTCTGTGGACACAAATACTTGATCTTTTCTATGTATTTTCATCTTTTGTTGTTTCTGATTTGCTATTCTGAATACATTAAGAAGATGCAAGTTTGTCACAATATAATATTCACTAGTCGAACATTGATTTCAATAGGGTGCAATCAAAATTAAATAAAGGTAAATAAATTAACCTTGTGTGTTTATTAATTGATGAAAATAACATTGGATTACTAGTATTAATTGTTGCAATTACGTCTAATCTCGAATGTTTATCTGTTAATCAAGAAAAGATTTATGGGGAATGCCAAAAGGTGTCCCTTTATGAGGAGTTAAAAATAGCAATTACTTCTAATTTCGATTTTCATATCATAAATAAATCGATAAGAGATTCTTTTAACATAATCATAATTCATAAGTATTAATCTTTCAATTGATATAAACAATCTAAATACTTTAATATATTTCAATTAATCAATCGACTTTAAACCCACGCATGGATAAACTATACTCTAAAATGCACTTAATATTAGATGTAGAAACGATAAATATTAGTTAGAGTTAATTCTTTAAATCAGAAAATCATTTTTTTTTAAAAAAATTCAAATCGAAAAAAACGACTTTCTTAGAATAATCATATGAGAAATCAAACCTCAAATATTAAGTACCTAATTAGTGATGAGTATCTTTGGGGGTAAAGTTATGAAGGAGTAATGATGCTTTTCGAGTGATAATTCTAAGAATAAAGAGAACCAATATTTTGGGGGTGAGTGATTCAGAATAACGATGAATACAGGGGCGGAAAATATTATTATTTATACATGATTAAAGTTATTTTTCATGTATATATAGTAGATGTCGAACCCTCATCGGTTAATTCGTGTGTTTAGTTCTTTAAATTTTGAACTCCATTATAAAAAATCCTAGCTCTGTCGCTGGTTTAGTAAACTAAAATCTGCACAATTTCGTAAAGTTTAAAACAAAATTAATCATTTTCTCTTGTAAAAAAGACCAGATATTTGAAAATTTTATGTCATTAGTAAATAAAGACATCTAACTTCAATTATTAATGGATGACAATTTTAGATCTCTAGTTAATAAAAATATATAATCAATAGCCAAATATCACGTATTTATTAGTTTAATTGACCAATTCAAACACTGAATCAGTAAATATTTCTCTCATCCAATCCAAATTTTTTTTGAATTAATTACTTAGAGAACATAGAATTTAATTACTTGTTTTGTTTACTACCCAACGCATAACAAGGAAGCAACAATAACTTGTCATTTGGTAAACCGCGTGGACGTAACACTAAGATACTAAAAATAGTAAACAAAATGTTTGCTTTGAACTAATCCAATGATATTTTTTGTTGTATTTGTAATTACGTTATGATTACGTATAATGTTTTGGGGGAATACTATTACACCTTTCGCCGTGTTATATGATATAGTTTGACTAGACATGAAATTCATGAAAAATAAAACACTAAATCATTAATATCTGTACGAGTGTGCCACTGTGTAACTTTACATTATCATAAAGTGAGTATTACACGTATAAGCAAATATATACTAGTTAATTACTTAACATAGTTATAGTTTGCCTTAATTTCAATTCGTAACTTACTATTAGCTATAATTATGCGACTCAGCCTTTTAGTTTTGTATAATTCGCACATTTGTATAATTCGAAATTTGTATAATATAATTTGTATAATGTAATTTTTGTATAATATAATTTGTATAATTGTTTACACTTCAGATGTTTGTAATTGTATAATTTTGTTATTTCGAGTTTATACAAATATACAAGCGAATTATACAAACCTGTGAATTATACAAATGAGACAGCTTAAACTGTAGCTACAGCCCGTAAATATGTTAACTATAGCTATGAAATATAATTAATTTTATTATAGTGACTATTTGTGAAAATTTTCCATTTTAAAATTAAATAGTTACTTATATTAACTATAAAATGTTATTATTTTTTAAACTAAATTAAAAAAATTATCATATAAATTGAGATAAAAAAGTACAAATTTACTAACAATATGTCGTTTTTCTTTTTTACATATTCCATTATTGTGAAGATTAGTACGACAAGGGCCAGAGAATAGATAAACTATTGGCTTAAGTCATACACGTCCCCTTAAAGTTATCCGCATAATTTACTTAGACACTTTAGGGCTTGTTCAAATTGAACACCTTGATTAGTTAAAAAATATACCTATTGAACATTTTGTGACAATCAACTAAAAATAGAGTGTGTGTCATACACTTGCGAATGATGTGACATAATAACAAATAAAAAAAGACATGTTTCATCCATAATAATAAGTAAAAAGTAAATTAAAAAGAATAATAACAGAAAAACTATGTTTTTAACAAAAAGAAAAATGAAGAAAAAGATAAACTCTTCTTTCCCTCATTTTTTCTTTGCCAGAACACCCCACCCACCCTGCGTCCATCCTTCCGTTTTTTTTTTACCGGAACACACACAGAGCCGCCACGACTAAAATCAACGATCATCTTCGTTCCACCTTTTTCTCTCTCAGCGGATTCTTTTTTATACTCATACACCTGTCCCTCTCGTTTATTCCGATATCCATCAACATTGTAGTTGTCATTTCTCTCTATCTCACTTTTTTTTCAATCATCAATTCAGATTCTCATATTATTATTGTTGTG